TAAATTACCCAACAGTATATAAAGTAGTTGAAATTACATCTACAGCAGTAAAACATACATTGCACATAATATTAGCATATTACATTATATCCCAAAACAATATATATATTAGTAAAACAGCATTTTTCTGCATAATGCATACTTTTATTTTTGATACTTTATGTACATTTTGGTTACAATAGTTACATAATTTTACTTAAAGGTTTTGAATGCAGAACTTTTACTTGTAGTGGAGTATGTTAACATTAAGTTATTGTTACTTTTACTTTCACTCTGCACACTAATGACATTTACCAGGATATTTTATTCATTTTCTGAGCATTTGGGTTACAAGAAAAACCTTCTGTGAAATGTCCATGTTTTCGAGGTCATATGAGAACCATGACACAATGTGTAGTGGACCTGTGCCAGCTCAATGTAGTTCAAATACGTGGGAAAAAAAGATAAAAGTGCACATTTTAGTGTTTGTTGTGTCCACAGCTGTTTTAGTTTGTCCTTGGTGAATGTCCCCCCCCAGTGTCTACTCTTTCTCTTTAGATTCAGGGCATACATTGTGTCTTTCTTCTCACTGATGAGTCTATGCTGCTTGTATCAAGGTGAAACTCACAACTCTCATCGCACAACAACCGTATGACCTGAATCTCCTTGTCAGAGCTATGGATGGAGAGGTACGTCCATGATTCCCAAAAATAACCCTGTTCATCAGACGGCTTCCTTTTCCCCAGTTCATGTATACATCTGGTAAATGAAATGTTAAATGATCTCTGACCTTTGCACTAAAACTGCCTCTTTCAGGCAATCAACTTCCCAGGTTTAGATGAAAGTGAAGTCGCCCATTTCCTCTGTGGCCTGCAGAGACTCAACAAAATAGCAGAGGTACAGATGTGAAGCACCATGAGAAATTTATATTACATGGAAGAAATGTGTTCAGGGGATATGTTTTCTTTTAATCTCTCTCTATCAAAACAAAAATAAATAACAAAAAACCATTGTAGCAATGTTTGCACATGCACAATTGATGTTTTATTTTTGTTCGAGTTTATGGATATAAAACCTAACTATGCATTAATGTTTGCTAAAAATTTGGGATTTTTTATGTTCCAGTATCACCTGTGTTGGGTGTGGTAAGTTTAAAGAAAAAGGGTAGCGTATGTTTATATGCTCTGTTAGCCTTTGTTTTTGTACTGCCCTTTGGAAATCAATAAATACGACGTGTCTGATTTTTCCCATGTAA